ATGTATCTTTCCTAGTGCACTAGATCAGTACTGATTCAATCATAGAATCTCTATAGTGCGGAAAGAGGCCGTTCATCCCATTGAGTCTGCACTGACCCTCTGAAGAGGATCCCACCCAGACTCAGCACCCTCCAACCTAACCCCGTAACCCTGCATATTGCCATTGCTCATCTACCTAACTTGCACAAGCCTGGACACTGTTGGCAATTTATCATGGTCAACCCTCCTAAACTGCACATCTTTGGACTGTGGGAGGAAACTGGAGCACCCAGAGGAAACCCATACAGATACAGGGGAAAATGTGCAAACTCCATACAGTCACCCAAGACTGGAATCAAACCGGGCAAGGACAAACTGTTTCCATTGCCTAATTGTACAACGATTAGCAAATATCGTTTTTTTTTTAAATCATAGAATCCCTACAGTGTGGAAACAGGCCCTTCGGCCCAACAAGTCCACACCAATCCACAGAGCATCCCACCCAGACCCATCCCGGTAATCTACACATCCCTGACCACTACAGGCAATTTAGCATGGCCAATCCACCTCGTCTGCACATCTTTTGAACTAGATTTAAGGTTTTAGTCAAAAGCTGCAAAGAGAGATGTAAGGAAGAACTTTTCTTTTTTGCAAGCATGTTGATGATCTGGGACACACTACCCATGAAGGTAGTGAAAGCAGACACCATCAATGAATGTTAAAGGAAGTTTGAAGACCTCTTGAGGAAAATAATCTTGCAGGATTCCAGGGACACAGCAGCGGAATAAAACTGGTTGGCTGTATAGAGAGTTGATTTGGACTTGATGGGTGGAATAGCCCCCTATGCTATTTGTGACTCCATGAGTATCATTTGTCTACTATAATGCAGAGCCTTCCAATATCAGTAATAATAATATTCTCAGATCATTTAGTTGCTTGAATGACAAATCATGGAGGAATAAAGAAGTGCAAATTCTGAACAAAGATGGCATACAGCCACCTGATTTGGCTAACTAATAGGTCAACCCAATTTATTTTCATTTCTGCAAGAAAACTTCATGCTTTTAAAGTGGGATATAAAGAGCTAATTTATATATAACAACTGCAATTAATTTCATCCGATGCATTGTTTGTACTAGATATGATTTCAATGAAGTACCCCAAAATCAATTACTGGTCTGTGACTGAAATATTTTGCTGTATCTTCTGATTCTGATTTGCTGTTTTGAAGTTGTTCATGATAGCTGAAAATTACTTGATGACTTAGTTGTAGTGTTTTCTTTTGAATGTATTGTAAGGTATTCTGTTTTTGTCTTGTAGATGTAGCAAGTTTTGATAGTGTAGTCTCTTCCACTGAGAAACTCAACCATCCCACAACATCTAGACCCAAAGCCAGTGGAAGGCGACCTCCAACTCAAGTCTTTACATCTGTAAGTGGTTAAAGAATATTTTGAACTGCATTGATTTTTTTCTTAAAAGTACAGTGACAGCCCATTTGGTCCATTACAGCAATACCGTTGTTTATGCAGCACCTTGCTTCATTTCACTGTATCAGCATATTCTTGTGTTCCTTTCCCCCTCATGTACCACTCTAGCTTTCCTAGAAATGCATCTATAACAATTGTCTTAACCACTTAATTGGCATTGAGTTCCATATTCTTATCTCCCTTTGGATAATTTTTTTCCTAAATCCTTTATTGGGTTTATTAGCAACTATCTTTTGTTTATGGCCTCCAATTTCAGAAGGTTGCTCTCTCATTAGAGAGATGACTGATGGTGGTTTAACCTGAGGGTCACCACCTCTCAATAAGGGGTGAGGTTGAGAAAGTAAGTCCTCTTAGTAACCTCAATCGATGTAGGAATTCAATCTATACTGTGGGCATCACAAACCAGCCAACAACTGAGCCAACGGTTCCAGTAAGTTCTCAAATATACACATCCTGCTCCTGCTAGCCTTACCCATGAACCCCATGGGCTTTGTATGTCCCCAGGTCTGCACCCAACCCGATCAGATGAGCCTGCATCAGTCCCTCTAAGACCTTGGCCAATGTGACGGCAGGTATGAACACACCCAGTCACCTACTGTGAGACCAGTGTGCTTTGCACCATGGACGAATCCCCTCCATGTGATCCCCTCTCCACCTATGCTGTACTGTATTCCCACTGTACAAATACTGTTATTTTCCTTCACAATTGTCATCCCACCTTAACCTCAGTCTGTAGCCCCATCCCAAAGAATAACTCATCGATTCTCCATTCTGCAGCATTTGGCTCCATTCACCCCCCCCACAAACCCCCTTGCACCTTACTTGGACCCAACACACTGATCCTGGCCAACACCCATGATCGAGCAACCAAACCAAACGAGACAAGCCCAGATGTGGCGCCCAGACCCTTGACTGATGGTTATACGTTTCCCTGGCAGCAATAGCCCTATACCTGTTCCTGTCCCTCCAGTGGACAGGCTACAATGCAGCCACAGAACTGACCATGATCCACTCCCGACTACAATGCCAATGACCCCAACCATGAACACCCCAAGGGGGTGCCTAACCATGGACTGGCATGGGAGTCTACCCTTTACTTACTGTGTCAACACTCGCTGACTGGTGCCTCCATTGTCCTTGGTGCGGACTACTCCCCTAAGACTTTGAGACATAGCTGCTTGCTTGTGCATTCTGTGTGAGAGCTGCATAAGCTGCTGCTGCAGGGAGAGATGTGAGATTGATGTAGCACATTGTTGTAGAGTAAGATGTCCAACTCTTGACTGAAGACTGTTGCTAGCAAGGCAGGCTACCTGTTTGTGGGAATGCACTAATTAGTACAGCACAGCATGGATAGCACAAACATGCAGGTAGGGACAAAGTGAGAGAGGGCTAAAAGACCAAGTGAGCAACCTCGAGGTGCAGCCTGGATCAAACATGAACAGGATGCCTATCCCTACGTGTAAAATGTTCTTGCAGCAGCCTTTCAATGCTAATTGAGATGCACTGCATTGCAAGTTTAAGCTTCTTGAGCGGCCTGCAAGTGTGGACATGTCCAAAAGTGAGAGCTGTGTATGGCTGGTGCCTTTGGTTTGTACCCTGGAATACTCCTTGGCCCTAAGCAACATGGAGGTCCTTTGCAATCAGTCACCAGGTACCTGTTCTGATTTCCATTTTGAAATTTCTCTTATGTCTAGCTTGGTTTTGTTTTGGTAAGGTAGGTTGCCAAATATTGATCAGGTAAATTGGGCCATTAACAAGCAATAATCTCCTTAATTAGCAACTTGCTACAGTGTAATGTGAATCTCGCCACGATGCCTCTATTACAAATCTCACCATAGCCTACATTGCTCAGACTCCTATAAGTTTCCATCCAGTGTGTTTATTTTAAGCTCAAACTTAAGGAGGTTTGATGTTGTGTTTTATGCTATATTTGTTTGGTGTGAGTTATGAAATACGAATATAATATATCCCACTGTCATGTACATGCTACACATATAATAGTTTATCTTTATTGGATACACTGCTTTTTAATTTGCTCTTTTAATATATAACTGTAATCTATTTCTTGCATTCAGAAAAGTTTCTGAACAAAATGAACAAGTTGTATAAAAATCTTCATTGAATTGTATTTCATTTTTGAACACTAAATGCAAAGATGTCCACAGTGAATTCTGACCCTTAGCAATTTCTGGACGAGTTTACTTGTCCATTCTCACCTAACAAGGGAATGGCTAGTAGAGATGCATACTTGGTTAAAGAGCTGTCAGACCTGGAATTTCAATGGTAATGTGCCTTATTTTTATTTCTCATCTTTCTGGCAGCCATCACTTTCTAGTCCTGACTACTTGGATTCACCAATTTCACAGGAAGACGATAGGGAAGAACAAGACCGAATAGAACTTGAAACCAACACAACAAAAGTAAAAGAAATTGTGAAAAAAGCTCCAAGACCCATCCCAGTGTTTCCAGTGAGTTGTTAGCACTTTACCTCCAGTACAACTGAAAAAATGCAATGTTGAAATGTGGATTTAACCAACTACTTCACATGCAATATTAGATGCAATATTTCATGTTTAATGTACAGGACAACTTGAGCTTTATAGATTAGTAGGAATGGTAATGCCAGGTTGAAGAGTTTAAGAAATGACTAAAGACTTGGGAGAAAAGATGACTCTTAGCAAGGGTTTTAAATGAGAGAATAGAGATAGAGGGTTTGGAGGGACTTGATGAAGGTAATCCCAGACAGCAGGGACTGTATGAAAGCTTGACCCAATGCAGTGATGTTCAATAGAAGTCACTATCTAGAGGTGTGACTATGGTGCCTTAACTATATGCACTGATTTTAATAGAAAAGTTTAGTTGCTTTCTACACATTCACATAATAGAGGTAAATGTAATTAATAAACTTTACTATCATGCAATAATTAAGGAAGCAAAACACTCAAACAATTAATAACACTTGTACAATTTGCAAATTGATTTACTGTTCTCCCAACAAATGCACAAAAAAATTAAGGTTTACCTGCATACACTATGTAAATAAGAATTGAGATCATATGCTCAATGATAGTGGCTATTACTGATCAGGAAAGCAATTCTCATGTCTACCCCCAATTTGTCACTGTTGGCAATCACTCATTAACAAGAATGATAGTCCACCTAGGAATCTCCATGGCACCCGTCATTGGTTTTCTGGGTCTTCGGGTGGCTTATGAGCCCAAACCTCCTCTCCAACTACACATTTTGGCAGGCATTTCCAGGAGGTGAAATGGCATTCCTTTCTGTGGTTCCTTTTGCATTCTCCCTCTTGCTGACAAGGTGTTCTCAAAGAATTGTGTTTCCTTTGCACTATGATTCCCGACTTTTTTAAACATAAGGTTAGTTTTTGAATTCAGGAGTGATCCAGGATCTATCCCAAAGTATGGAATAAACAGTTTATTTTCAGTTTAGTCTAAAACTAGTGTGCAACCTATGACTGCACGTTAGTTGTCAGTGCCTTGTAGTCTAAGTTGTAGTTTGAGGCTGCTAGTCATACACAGCCCATGGGAATCTGTGAGGAGACTGCAATACATGGACTTGAATATCTTCATTTGGGAAAATGTGGAGACAAAGCAAGCTTTCAAAGCACTGGGTGATAGTGGGTATTTTTCAGTTTATGAATCCCCCAAAAATGCTGTCCGTTCACATGACTTTAAGCTTAATATCATTTTACATAGTAGTGATCGCCATTATCAACTCCATTGCTTTGTAAGTCAAATACCTCATTGAATTTGATAGCCAATGTCTACTTGAGGAATGGATTTGAGACAAACATGATGATTTGCTCCATCACATCTAATTTCTGAAGTTGCCCATTGAATTCTTCTGCTAACTTCCTCTGGCGTGCAGTTTTCTGGATGGGACTATTTTTATTTGCCTTTAATTTTTTTTGTTTCAAATTTTTTTTCCAGACTCAGTGTTGCAGCATTTTATGTTTTAACTCACGGGACCACAGACCCAGTTCACAGTTCAGCTTGTTCAGTTTAAACATTATTTCTATAAGGAACCCGAAGTCAAGCAACCACACGTTGTCTAACACACTGCACGTTTCATTTTTGGATTTAAGAATCGTAACTATTTCAGGCATCAGATCTAAAAATCTTTGCTGAACCTTTTGTCAAGTTCATCACCTCATATCAACATAGAGGATTAGTTCGCTGTAGGCAGCATTGAGTTTGTCAATTAAGGATTTAAACTAGCGGTTCTGAAGAGTTATTTTTGGAATTGAGTTTACAATTTTTAGCAGCAATTTTCATTATATGAGAAAAGTCCATAACTTTACAAGAAGCACCTGGATGAATATAGGAAGGGAATATACGGATACAATCCTGTTAGGTGAAGATGGTTTTGGTATGGAAGGGCAAAATGTGTTGGCACAGGCTTGAAAGGCCGAAGAGCCCGCTCCTGTGCTGTATTGTTCTTTGTAGTGTTCTGCTTAGATTCTTGACAGCATTATAATTGGTCTAGGTACTTTACAGTTGTGTTTCTAAACTTGAATTATCCTAGGTATCTGATAAAACATTGCCACCAAAGCCAGGAGCTCAAAATTTGCCATCAGGAAGCAATGCACATGGATCAGCTGTCTATGCATTCCACCATGGCATCTCTTCTACAGCTGGGCAAAGACCAAACTCACCATCACAGTACAGTACTGATCTCAAGCCAAAGATTGACAAGACTCAGGATCCAATTGAGGAACTGAGAGCACAAATGAAGGAATTGAGAAGCTTCATTGAAATTATGAAGTCTCAGCACAAGTGAGTCGAATTTTGTTATCTACAGATTAGGATCAAATTGTACAACGCACAACCCAAATATCATTATCCATCAAACTGAACCTTGTGGAATTTTCAGTTATTGAAAATCTTAATTCTGTTTGGATATTTGTTTCTTTTAAGCTGTTGGGATTGTGGACTTCCCTAACTAGATGTAGTGTAACCTAAAACTAAAGCAGGAATTTCTGAGGAAAGTCAGCAGGTCTGGCAGCATCTATGGAGAGAAAATGTTTTGGATCCAGTGACCCTTCTTTGGAAGAGTCTTCCAGTTCTGAAGAAGGGTCACTGGACCCAAAATGTTAACTCTGTTTTGTCTTCAGATGCTGCCAGATCTGCTGAGTTTTCTCCAGCAATTTCTGTTTATGTTTCAGATTTCCAGCAGCTGCAGTTTTTTTTTGTAGTGTAACCTAATCTGCTAGGCATCTTTTTACCTCCTTGTAAGTATTCCAGCTCTGGATAATCTTAAAAAAACTGTTTTGACAGTGCATTCTGTTGCTGTTGCTGTTAAATTTGTGATAGTTCTTTTTGTCATCAACCTGTGATGGCTTATATTTAACACTGGGCAGAGTAGTATGCCACAGGATCAGTGCAAATCTGAGCATTCCAATAATTCAGAATCTGCATTTATTACAGGTGATTCTAGGATATTAACCTGTACTTTTCACAATACATCCATTTGTCCTGTAAACTGCCCTGACTATAGTAAAAAAGCTTTTAGAATTTCTTACAATTGTCACCATCAGTTTACTAAGTAAACTCAGGATCTCATTGAGAAATGTCTGCTGCTCATAGCATTGCATAACTTGACGGCCTCATATTGACTCTCAATTTTGGCTGCAGTCTGGAACGCTAATTTGCTCATGAATTTAAGCAGGATTGGCAATTTGTGTTTTTGGTCATCCATAAATTTTTATTCACATGGGAAAACCAATAATAATGATAAAATGTCATCTTTTTCCTAATTACATTTTGACCGCTATTCATCATTTAGTATTTTTGAGCTTTTTACACTGAAGTGGATACTTCCTTTTGCAAACCTGCCAACAAATATTCCCCATTTTATGCATTTTAAGTTTATTCTTATTAACTTAAAACCATTTAAGTCCCAACTTATTTAAGCCTACAAAACTGTCAACTGGCATCTATATTGGACCAGATTGAAATGTTGCTGTTTTCTTTTGACAGAAAAGAGATTACACAGTTGATGACTGAGTTAGATGAAGAAAAGAAGATTCGTATATCCTTACAAGTGAGTCGGATATTTAATATGCACTGCTCACAGACTTATTCTAATTTGGGGATCCTCAGTTTGGTAATTGAACAGCTGGATCTAGGTTTTTTTGCTTAAATTCTTCTTTTCCTGAGTCTGACACTGAATTTTAATCAGGCAGAGTTGAGGATTTTGAGATCTCAGGCCAAGTAGCTGTCCTCTACTCCTATGGTCAATCATCAATGAACATCCCACTTTGGAGGAAAGTTGGGATAATAGAGCCGAAAAGATTTGTGCCTGGTTATTGTCATAAATGGACAATTAGGTGTAAATTGACTGCTGCATTGCTGAGAATGTGAAAGGTGCTTTTTCTCAGTAGTCAATTCTGCCTCAAATGTCATGTATTTGGAGGCTCCCAGTGAGTTGAACATAATCCAAGAAAGCTTCAATGGAATGTCAGTCATGTCATCCTTTTTGTTCTGGGATGTACCTAGGTTACCTAATGTAATTTTATTTCTTTCAATTGCTTGTTGAAACAGCCTTAATATTCCTCAAAGTGCACCCTAGTTATTGTGTAGAAAGATGGTAAAAATCCAGCGAGCTGAAGAATATATTAAGGTTGTTTCTAATTTTAAAACTTGAGGCTTAGTGGCTCAGTGGATTGTTTGACATCTCCATAAAGTTACCAAAATCCTCTAACTCCAACTGATGCACTTCTAACACAAATAGCAGCTGGTAATATACTGGTAGGTCAGCTGTGGAATGTTTTACATTATGTACTTGGAACTATAACCTTAAAAGCTAGAATGAATCTCAACATTGTACAACATATCCAGTTTTTTTTTTTTTTCTTTTGCACTTGCCAAAGTGCCACTACTTGAATAAGCAAACCTTCATGATGCTATACACTGCATCAGTTTTCTGAAAAACAGGGTAGTGCCAAGTTTTGTTTGAATATGCATCAGGTTTCCAATAGAAAGTACAGAGAGGTACCTCTCCATGTTGCAAAATTGTCTAAGGCAATTGCACAGATGAAGAGTTCATTACCTGCAAATGCAGCTGTTTTATGTTTATGTTTATCTGAATGTGAAAAACTGATTGCAATATTGCACTAATGTATCCTTGACCTAACTTAGGGGTATATTACATTTTGCAGAAAACACAGCTGCTTCTTGAAGGAACAGATGTTTGCTGTGAACAGTACAGCAGTGATGCACTAGAATGTTAAAAATTGTGTGGATTATGAGATTTCATGTACATGAACAATGGGGTGAACTGTCAAGGGTAGCTAAAGTAACTTTTTACTGTTGGTGAAAGGTTTGAGGCTAGAAGCATATAAAAAGTGTAGGAAGTAATTCAACGGGCTCTTGTTAAATACCATTGGCTAAAGAAAAAAATGATCATTCATAATCTTACCTGAATGACAGAAGCCATTGCGAGTTAATGTGGATTAAAGGTATACTCAATTTTTGGGAGTTGAGACAGTGACTGACCATGACATTTAATAGCAACAGAAAAAATGGGCAAGTTAATCAACAGTTAATGGAATTCTATGGTATTTGAATTCGAGTCAATATCTTTAATCAACCCTGTTCATTAAATTTTCAGATTAACTTAGCTTTGTTTTACAGCTGGAAGTGGAAGGAATTAAGAAAACACTTCAAGGAAAATGATACTTCTATGGTGTGAATGTTGCAGTGACACTTCTGATTGCTCTAGGACTCCAGATGCAATGCAGCCAAATTTAGTTTTGTGCCAAATTTATTTTGTAAGCATTATTCCCTCGCATCTTTTTCTAAAGAAATTTTCAAATTTTATAATGCAAAATAAGTTACATGATAAATGGCAGTGATTTTACTCTGTTCCCTGTACTAAATGCACTGATGTCCAGATGGCTAGAGCTAGAGGCTTAAATGCATATGTGTATATGATATGTACACATTTACCATAAAGTAATTTCAGGCACATAAGCCCACACTGGTAGTATACTATGATGCTCTTTTTGCAATAAAGAAAATTTAATGTTGGAGTGCCAGTTTATAATATGCCTGACTTGTTCATTTATTTTATGTTGATATGCTTGTTGTGACAATATCCCATTAGACAATTTGATGTCAAAATGTCCTTTTATGCTTTGTATTTTGAAACTTATCCCTCAGTACTGCAATGGGTATAGTGAGCAGAGCATTCTAACAATGTACAAAATTAAAATTTGGTGCCTACATAACCCTATTAAAAGAATGCTGCAGCCTCAGTGTACCTATTTAAGTATACTCTGGCAATTATTTCAAAACAGATTAGAACTGCAGTTGATTAATTAAATACACATTGCTATTTTCAAAGAGACTGTCTGGAAACTCTTCCTTTACTCTGGTAAAAAGATTAAGCTAGTTCAAAGATTCTACAAAAGTAGCTTTATAGATCAAAAAATGTGAATTCAAGGCATGAAGTGCCTAGACCCAAAAACATTTCATGTGAATCTGTCCAAATTGTTTGTCTGACTCACCCAAAACAAAGATTGGAGATTTGAGATTTAACATTTTTATTGTAAAGGGCTGCACTTCCTACCAAACTCCACCTCACACAATCCTTTTTTTTCTTGATGAAAGAATATAAATACACAGATTTAAAACAAAAATTGTTACAATGGATTTTAGATACATTAGTCATAAATCAACTCATCCACAAAGAATGTTCATGTGAAATCCAAAAAAAAGAAATTAATTTGAAGGAAGCTTGGATACAAGGCTGGAATCCAAATTCAATCTCAATTTAAATCTGCAAGAAAACAAAAAAGTTTGTTACATTCCAGACACAGTTTAAATAGTTAAAATGCTGGAAACACTTCAATCATGCATCTCTGGAAAGAGATGCAGGAGAGTGCAGTTAAGAGCCTGAAATTACAGCTTTTATGCATGCACATTTATCTCAATGAATGAGTTTATGCAACAAGTTGGGGGGTTGAATACAAAAATAATGGATTTTGTTTAGACACAATGGTGTTTCACTGATAGTGCCATTGGCCAAAACATCCATATTGTTAAGTGACCAAAGTATGTTTTACTGGTGAATGAACAAAAAAAAAAAAAAAAAGGTCTCTTAGGAACAGAAGTACCATATCTTCATGCTCTGCTTAACAAAGATCTTGTTTTGGAAATTCTGATTTACTGACAATACTTTGAGGGCAAAATAACCAAATTTTATTTTAAAAAGTTCACTTATGGATATTCCAAATTCTTGAACTTATTTAAACTTTAAATAATCTGACTGCAGGAAATGCATGTTGAGTCTTTGTAAATTTAAATATTTTATCTGGAGATTCTGCACAGCACCCACATCAATGCAGCATTCCAGATTATTTATAAAGGGGGAAAGAGAGGAGTCCAACAGACTAGACAGCTTCAGCCATAGGAAAAAGTAATAATCTAGAGAATAGAATGAAAAATTCAGTAAAAATATTTTTAAAAAAGGGGAAAATCTGACCAATCTTGTGGTAATAGGCAAGTGGAATACAGGGTGGAGCTGGAGGAGCACAGTAGGCCAGGCAGCAGAGGAGCAGGAAAGTTGACATTTTGGGTCAGGACCCTTCTGCAAAAGAGGGTCTTTATCCAAAACGCCGCCTTGCCTGCTGTGCTCCTCCAGCTCCACCACACTTATCGGACTCGAGCATCAGCAGTTCTTACTATTTCCCAAAATAGTCATCAATTAACAGAAGTCAGCTGCCTTGAAACCAGTTAGCCAAAAGTGTAAGGGTAGCTAGCAGATGCTGACACCATTGGTGTTTACAATTCATGTTAGCAGTTTGGATCAGAGTCAAGCATAATTTCTAAAATCTGTAGCTTACATCAATTTTAGCAGGGGAAGATCAAAACTGATGATGACTGCTTAAAAATTCCAACAGGATAAATTTGCAGAATGGATAAATAATCAGCAAAAGTTGCCAATTAAAGAATCAAACTTAAAGAAGCCAATTCCATCAGTATGCAAAGTGGATTGGTAAAAATCAATTGAAAGGCATGGCTGTTTACAAAGCAAGAAACCTGAAACAATCTTTTAAAGAGACAATAATTGAAGAGGTTTAAGGTTGTAAATAATGAGCCTGAGTTATGACAAATTATAAAAAAAAATCTATAAAAAGGTGACAGTCAAAAATCAAAAAAGTAGAACAAGTAAAAGGAATACAAGATCCAGATTGCAAGACCTTACTTATAGCACAAGGAGCTTATGGTTTCACATAAGATTTAAAATAGATTTACCTTTTAAACTTGCCACTTCAATCTTATTAACAGTCCAGCTATAGATAGCTAGTGTCAGGGGTCCAAAATATATTTAATGTCTATTAAAGATGTGTAAATGTAGGTCCTTTCAAGGCAGAGAAAAAACTAGAAGTGGCAAAAAGTGGACTTATTTTACATAGCCGAAATACATGTAATAACAAGGCTAAGAGTATGAGCAGGGAAAATCTCCAGGAACTTGTATTTACATTAAAAAATAGCTACAGCAACAATGAACACAGTGCTTAGTATTTTCCAAAAATTCCCTACATTTTACAATGGTTTCTGCAGATAAAAGTGACATGATGGCTAATTTCCAATTGCAAAGACAGGAGAAAAACTGAACTACGGGCTAGTTAGCCTGATGAGTCACCAGCAAGATGTTGGGATCTTTTGGAGGCAGTAGGCACATTGGTTTGTGTGGGGGAGGGGAGAAAAATCATTGATCAAGAACAAAAGTAACAGAAGCTAAGAGCAGCCCATGAAGGATAGGACTGTCAGGAGGTATAGGGATGGACACAGCTGAATGAGCATGATATGGAAGGAATGGAAGTGGAGTGAATGAAATAATCACTGCTGAGATACTGAAAACATGGAGAACTGATATCCACACCAGTAAAAGTCTGCTTTTATACTTACATCATCAATGTCCTCATCATCATCCCCAATATCGTCAAACTGGATTTCATCATCATCCCCAGGTCCAAACGTGTCTGTTTCATTAATTTTTGCTGTGGGACAAAAAATAAACAGAACAGGTGAGGAAAAATAACTTAAAAAAGTTAGATCAATGAATAAATGAAGCACGACAATAAACTCATACCATGCTCTGGAAGTTCACCATAGGCTTTTAAGCTTCTTGCCTCATCTGCATTATATTTCAGGATGACATCAGCCTTATTATCCTTTCAAGAGGGCAACAAAAAAAGTTGGTTAAAATGCAATTTTCTTGGATAAGTGGAATTAACAACTGAAACACCACAAAAATCAAAGTGGATCTCGACAAACTAACAATCCAAAACCATTTCCATACATGATATTTTGGACTGCACTTCTGCAAGAAAAAAAAAACCAAAAACAACAAACTAGTAAAAAAGGAAACGAGCCAAATTTTTGTACAGAGGAAGATGTGGTAAACAGGGCACTCAATGTCATTTGTGTGGACTTCCAGAAGACAGTGATAAAGTCCCCTATTAAAGCTAACATCGAGTTTTATGGAACAGAATGGAATAGGCCATTCAGCCCAACAAGCCCAGTCTGCTATTCAACATGATCATGGCTGATCTTCTCTCAATGTCATCCTCTCATTCTCTTCCTTACCCCCTGACACCTTAAACAACTAGAACTCTATTTCTATTTCTTTCTGAAAGATATTCAGTGACTTACTTGAGTTCCACAGTCTTCTGTGGTAGAAAATTCCATACGCTCACCAGCCTTCGAATGAAGAATTCTCATCTCAACCTTAAAATGGCCCACTGGATATTCTGAGACTGTAAACAATTGTTCCAGAAACCCTTGCCAGGGGAAACATCATCCCTGCATCCAATCTTTCCAGACCTGTCAGAATTTCATAAGTTTCAGTGAGATCCCCGCTAATTCTTCTAAACTCCAATAAGTATAGATCCAGTTGACCTAATTTCTCCTCTTACATGCCAGCCATTCCTGGATTCAGTCTGACGGGCCTTTGCTGCATTCACTTTATGGCCAGTATCTCAAGGCAAGGAAACTAAAATTGCATATAATATTCCACTCCTTGGTGGTCTCACAAAGGCACTATAGGGCTGCAGCAAGACTTCCTCTCTACTGCACTAAACCCCTGTTGCAATGAAGGTTGACATACCATTTGCCTTCCTAACGGCTTGTCACACATGCATGTTTGCTTTCATGACCAGTGTACAAGGACATCCAGATCCCTTAGCCTTGAAATTTAAAATGGCAATAATACACCATTGCCTATTGTTTTTCCTGTTTTCTTTCCTTTTTAAAAGTAGGCATATTTATCCATATTAAACTGCATCTGCAATGTATTTGCCTACTCAACTTGTCCAATGCTTCTTTATACCCTCACCGCCATTTAATTTTGTGGTCAAATGTGGAAATATCACAATTGATGCTTCATCCTAATCATTAACATATTGTTAATAGCTAGGATGCCAAATACTGATCCCTGCAATGCCCCACTTGTCACAACCATCCAGTCTGAAAGAGACTTATTCCCACTGATTCCTCATTTACGCCGGTATATTAATATTAAGCCCATGTGTTTGGATTTTGCATATTAAATTCACATGGAAATAAATCAAAAGCTCTCAAAATCCAAATAAACCATTTCCATTGGTTTTCTCTCATCTAATCTACAAGTTGCATCTACAAAGACTCCTGTAGGCTTGTCAAACAAGATCTTTCTTCATAAATCCATGTTGACTTTCATAACAGTATTTAAACTAAGTGTCCTAGATTTCATATTTTGTAACATATTCTAGCAAATTCCTAGGTTTGTTTTATTAAAAAAAAGTCATGACATTTGCCACCCTTCTAATGTGCTGTCCAGAACCTACACAATTTTAGATAGTGACATTCACAATTGCCATGATTATCTGTTTTAGTACTCTGGGATGTACATCAAGCCTGAGATTTAGATTTTCAGCCCCATTAATTTCTTCAGTTCTTCCCAGAAGTGTTAGGGAAGAAGTTCTACATTTTCCTTGAAGACACAACAGGAGTTCTTCAATTGTTCTGTCATTCTTGTTTTGCATTATCAATTCTCCCATATGAGACTGCAAGTCTACATTTGTCTTTCCTACTCATTTTCAGTTTAGAAATGCTTACATTTAGCAGAGTATGAACATTCCTTGTATCTGAAAACAAACTGACTTGTTTCAGAAATTGGTCAAGTGATAGGAGACAGACTAGTAGGTATGTGACTAGTAGTGTACCACGAGAATCTGCAGATTAGATGAACTGGCAGAACTGAAATGGATTTCAACATAGGCAAACAAACTACTTACACCAAAAAGGCAGGGTGCATGTGGAAAAGATCAAAAATTGCAGAGGTACAAAAAGGGACT